TAGTTTTGCATTTGTGAGATGTCATAGCTAGTGGATTGTGAGATTAAAGTTACAAATATGGATTTTAACAACAATTTGGAGAAAGTTTGTCAATTTTAGTCTGTGTCAGGGTGGTTAATATTCTTGCTATCTAAAAACAGTTTTATTTTAACAGCTTTGAGAAGGGAAGGAAATCTTGAGTTTTGCTGCACTTTTTATATTTTTTCACAGTGAAAATATCACTTTGAAATTTTTCACCATGAAAAAATATCACTCGTATTCAATGGGTAAATAACAGTTTTTGACCTTTTGTAAATGTAATAAATACTTCTTTGTTCTATTCATCAGTTGTAACAGTTATTGAAACGTGGTAACAAATCAGTAACAAATAACATTGTGATAATAAAATTGGGGAAAAAGTAACATTTTATGAGCAGTATTTCTTTATTTCGTTGACTTACAGCAAATTAAGACATAGAACAAATACAACATTTTGTTTCATCAGTCAGTTTTCACAATAAAACAAGTAACAACATCGAAAATAATTTTTGATCATGTAACGAAAAAAGTTGAACAAATATTTTTAAGTAAATGATACTGAACTAATTCTTTGTGAAACATAATTGTACAAATTCAAATTCAGTGGATACATGTATATCTTTTGAAATCCATGTCATGTCCTTGGAAAGCTTGTAGAATTATGATGATCGAAGCGTACAAGCTGAAACTTAATTTGTTTGAGCACAGCAAGTTACTGAACTTGCATGTACTAATTAAGACAATGATGACCTATTGTTAAATGTTTCTTTCCTCTTTGTGACTGTCTAAAAAAAAATAACCTCAACTCAAAAGAATCTATAATTTTACGACAGAACAGAGAAATTAAATGTTTCTAATTACAGTATATTTATCATTACCCCTGTCTGCCACTTACATCAGGAGATCAAAATGGTGATTTGGAAAGAGGAAAGAAACCCAACTTTGATTAAGGCCAAACTTATGTATTTTTTGATTAGACATTCCATTCATCAACAGCAGCATTCCCACATACTGATCACAGTATTGCGGTACTGTTTGTGGTAGCAAAAATATAGCTGCTGATTTAACACCAGATACATGTGGAACCAAACGGTTGCTATGTTACCGAATACAGTCACCTTAGTACTTTCTTGAAGAACGCCAATTAAGGAGTGACACAAAAAGTTTACGACACCCAGTGGAAACATCATGAGAACCATTAAGATGAGGAGCTGAACGACAAGCTTGGTCTTGGCACGTTCCTCGACACGGTTCTGGTGAAAAATTAAAGTTGCGCTGGATCTGCAGGAAGTGTTGAATGTCTGAGAAGTTTTTCCTCTCCTGTACATAAGAATTACTAAAGCTATGCACAGTATCCCTGTTAGGAATGTTGGTAAGAAGACGGATATACTTGAAGTATACCAGAAATAGGCAATACTAAGAGTGTTGTTGTCCAGGGTTTGGACATTTTTGATAAGAGTCACAGAAATGTTGGACACATTTGCTGTATCAATTTGTATGACTTCCTCTGTAAGGTTGTATTGCCATACCAAGGGGAGAGCACTGCTGATGGCAAAGGATGAGATAATGCAGATGTAGAAAGGTGCATGCTTGAATGACTGAACACGCTGTTGAAGCCCCACTCCTATCAGCGTCCACACAAAGGCAAACCACACAGCCTCGCGACACACAAGTGTGTAATACTGTATGTGGACTAGAACTTTTAGATACCCAATATAGTGTGGTAGGCAAAGAATGATAGCGCATATAACCAATAGAGTACTTTCCACACTTAAGGCTAATAGATAGGTCTCTAAAGAGAGTCGGATCTGTCGAACTAAGGTCACCAAATTCAAAAGTTGACAGAGCATTCCTAGCACAAGCACCATGGGAAGCAGCACATAGCACACATAATTGGCAATTTCACATAGTGTATAGGACCTGGTCCATGGTTCTGTCTCTATGTACTCCAGACAGAGAGAATGCACTGTAAGACATAACTGAGGGGGTATCAAAAGGAGGGGTTCGTTACGGTATTCTGGCTCCAAAAAATACATCTCCAAAATTGCAGTAAAATTCAAACAATATCAAGAATACGATGGAAATTAATTGCACTGGATTAAAGCACACTTACGCACATTTACAAAAGTCTAATTTCCAAGGAGGTTTTTATTTTATTTTTTTTAGAATCATTCCCATCCTCACATTACTGAATCTGCATTCATTTACAAGAGTAAAGCAGATGTGTTGTTAATATCCATTAAGGCTTCATTTATTTCCACTATTTTGCTATGGTTGTAATGATGTGAAATCCTTTGCATTCCTAATAGAATACAAATGCTGGTCTGAAACGCAAGACCATCATGACAGATAATAGTAACAGGGCTTCAGTTTTCTCCAAGATAAGGTATAATTCGAAAGAATATTTTTCCTCAGCTTCATAGTAATGAATTATCATCCAGAGTTTGTGAGAATGTATTTTAGCTGTTCAGTTGATAAATGTTTTCCAGGTTAATTCAGATGGTACAGGGTCTAAGACCTTCTCATTTTCCTCAGAAATCTCATTAATTCCATAAATGGAACAACAAACTGCAGAATTCTAATCCCAAGTCAGTGTTTGTCTGTCATCTTTTTTTTTTTTGATGCTTCATGATTCGTATTTCAATCTTTTCCACTCTACCTCTCCAGATCAATACCTTGTAATTCTTAGAACAGACTTCTGTGCATTCGATCTTCTTTTTTAACTGGTGGGATTTTCTCCTTTTCTTTCTCTCCCTCTCTTTTAATTTAGATCAGTGTTGGTGGGTTTACATAGCGTGGTTTCAGCTTTAATTTGTTGGAATGATGGTTTGCAGTCCTTGTATTTAATTGTCACCTTGTCGTCAGAAACAGACGCAGCCTGACTTTGACTGGTCTCCATGGATCTGACAATCTGAAGCTCGCCTGACGCCAGACATGAAATACTCAGAAGGGAATAATACCCCTGGGGGTTGATGAGAGGGGTCACTTCTGTCACACTATGAAGGATCTCAATCGTATCTGCTTTCTCTGTTATTGAGTGTGAATGCGGTTGATGAAACAGAATGCTACTAACTGTGTTATGCACTTAAAAAGGCTGAGTAAATGAAAAACAATTTAATTTTCTTCAAATGCATTATTCTGGTATTGAATATGAATGAGAGTTATGAGTGAACTCAGCTCCTAATTCAATTATGCATATGAAGGGAGTAACCCAAGAATTTTTCATCAGAGACAATTAGTACTTTTAACATTATGGAAATGAAAGCTTTAGCAATATAATGATAAAGGGTAAAACTTTGCACATGGAAAAGAAGATGTTTTATTTTTACTTTGAAGTTTAAGTGTTCTCTGAATTAATTATAATGCTGCTTCAGCTTCATTAATTGCAAAAATTTGTTTCGTCTGATTGTCGAAAGTTTATCTCAAAAGTGCATTAACAAAACTGAATTATAAATTACAACATTCTCTCTTGAGAACTTTATTGGATAATTGTTTTTAGAGTAAATGTTGTGTATTTGACATGCAGGGTACCATATTATTTAATAATTGATATTTTAAACATGCAACTTTATTCTCTGAGAGTATGTGATGACATTCAACATAAACATCCTTAAGATGTGTGGCTAAAATTATGTAATGATATCAACAGAAACATGGCTAAAATGATTTTAAAAAATTTACTTGGAATCCTTTACATGTTGCTCTTTAGAGGGAGATGTGTTTTCATCACCACAACCCCCAGGCCTAAGAACTCCATCCCTAATTTTATTTCTTTCCTCCATATGTATAGGTATAAAATTAATTAATTTAAAAACCTTATTAATGTTAAACTCACAAATTTATGCTCAGATTTAATATGATGATTTATTAAATTTTCAACAGTGAAATACTGTAATTTATCCATTGAATAAAGTGATATTTTTTTCAAAGTGATATTTTTCAATGTGAAAATATCAACTCTTGATTTTTATTCCCTTCTCGATGTGCTATATAGAAAACACTTCCGATGTAAGATAGCAAGAGTAAGTAATACATCCTGACAGAACAAAAACTGCCAAAGTTTCCCCAAATTGTTGTCAAAGAGCATTAAGCCTTATACAGTAAAACTCGGTTATAACAAAGTCACTGGGACCTGCGAAATTACTTTGCTATATCTGTAATTCATTTTATTCATATAAGAAATTCGTTAAATGTATAAAGCTGGGGATCCAAGAAAAATTCGCTATATCCGTGAATTTGCTATGTCCGTGTTCGTACTAAACGAGTTTTACTGTATAGGATGTACTGCTAGCCAGGGGTGCATTCAAAATTGTATATTATGTACTATGTCAAAGCTCTTCATTGAGCTATAGTTTAGAACAATATGCTAGCAAGACTGATTTGTAGGGATAACAAGTGCTAATTCATACAGTGCATTCAATAGACCTATAGATATCTATCCTAGCTAGTATAATGCTAGCTGCTATGATCTTGAACATAGCCCTGAGCAAGAGTTCTGCTAGAACGCTTTTTCCTACACAAATGATTTAAAACCCATAAAAATACAATATCAGTATCTACAAAATATCTTCAAAAAAAAATTTTACAAATGGATTCATCACTATTATTTTCCACCAAGTGTCAGCAATCTTGATATTTATATCCCATAGTGATGTAATAGAGATGTTTTAGTACTGACATTTGACGAGTAATAGAAGCAAAAAATTAAAGGGGTCCGTAAAATCTAATGGCATAAACTTCAGATCGGCATCTTTATTGCTAGTTTTGATCTAATCTACCATTATGAGGGGTGTTTTTATACCAGCAAAACCACTTTGTAATACACACTATAGAGCCCCAATGTCTTGCGCTGAGTATTGATTTTATGTAAATCCAGAGTTCTTAGAAATTTTTTGGGGCCCGATACAAAGTGAGCTTTAGTAACTGTTGTAGTAGTTATTGATTTGTTAGTGTGAATTTAAGTGTCAATTTGTCCATTACAG